TTTGGTTTGAAATCTACAATATAAACACCAGGCCAGACCCGGATGATTCTGGAATCACCTTCCTGACTACCAATCTGTGTAGGTTCTCATCTCTCCTCCAACTGCAATCCCTCCAAACACCAGCTTTCACGGGTGCAGGGAGAAGCCAGCCAGGCCCGATGGATCACCCACAGCTCAAGACAAGATCAGATAACATACATGAGTGAGATAATATGCAAATGAACAAATGAATCCATGTTCCAATATAACTTTATTTGGCCCATCCTGATCAAGTTTAATAATGCTTAATAGATTTTTTTTAAAAAAAACAGTAGTAATAACAATTCCTCTGTAATAACAATTATATATGAACTTCTGGTCAAGGTCAGCAGCTTGTTCCTTTACCAAAAATGTAAAGCCGCCCTCTGAGGACAAGTGGCACATGAGAAGCAGTGTACATTTCCTTATCTTTAAAATAAAACAAACACAAAACCAAATACTTCATATTTACATATTTTCCATTTAAAAATCGGTCAGTGTGATTAATTCTGCTTTTAAATATAAGTTTCTAGTATGTTGCAGGTTTCAATGTACAAATCCTAGTTAGCAGATTAGATTTAAGGTGCTGTTAAGGTGAGGGTGAACACAGCCAAGACCAAGACGAGGGGACCTTCCGCTTAGAGTGTCCAGACTTCCTGTGGGTATCTTTGGGCGTGTTGGGGGTGGGGGAGGGGTGGAGCTGGACACCAGTGATGGAAATGCTTCTGCAGAGGGTCTGCTGTGCCCACACACCATCACCCCAGGCTCCGGGTACGAGGGCACCTCTGGGTTTGTAAGTTCCGAACTCATCTTGACCTGAACTAGGAGGTGGCTTGAAATCCCTTCCTTTGGGGTCTCCATGCCTCTGCCTGACCCCTGAGTGTCCTCACGGTTGGCACCCCCCCTTTCACACATTGCTACCTCCCTGGATTCCTTGTCCCCAGGCCACTTGCTCTCCAATGCACTTCTCAGGGCCTGCTCTTTGCTGGGGCTAATGGATGATCAGAACCAAGGGCAGTATGAGTAAAGCCTGATAAGGATGCATTAATCCGAAATCTCTCCTAACATTTGCTCTATGGTGAGCCCCTCATTGGGTGTGGGGGTGGGGGGCCTTGGAGGGATTCATGGACTTGCTATCTTCACACTCACCCATGTGACAGCCCTTGGGAACGAGGGCTGTGTCTGTGTCTGTGCGCGTGACAGGAAAGCCCATGAGGAGTTCTGGAAGAGGTGCGTGCCCAGGCCTGGAAGAATGAGTTCTGTTACCCACAGACCCCAACCCGATCTTATCTAAACAAGGATTTCAGATCATTCAGGAGCGAGGCAAAGACAGGGGCCTGGCAAGTGAGAAGGGATGTATTTGAGGCACCAGAATCATATGCTTGATTAGGGAAAAGAAACTGGCTCAGTTTCCCATTCTGGAACACGAGACACACAGCCCGGAAGAAAAGAACATGGTGATGGACAGGGAAGGTGCATCCTGGACTAACTTTTCTGACTGAAAAGCCAGCGGGACCCCAGCAGAGGAAGACATTGTGTAGTGGACAGACACTGGCCTGGGGCCGGGAGACCGGGACTCGGGGCTGAAGAAAAGAACATGGTGATGGACAGGGAAGGTGCATCTTGGACTAACTTTTCTGACTGGAAAGCCAGCGGGACCCCAGCAGAGGAAGACTTGTGTAGTGGACAGACACTGGCCTGGGGCCAGGAGACGGGGACTCGGGGCTCGCCCGGACCCTGGCTGGACGCTGCTTCTCTGGTTCTCACTGTCTTTCCGTGTCTGTCCGTTGAGGCTCTCTGGGCCAGTGGGTGTCTACACCAGCCTGCAAGATTCCGCGGCCTCTCCCCACCCGGCGGGGCCTGCGGACTGCTTCCTAAGACTCGCTTCTTCCACTTACAAGACGCAAGGGCCTCCTCTTCGCTGGGAAAAGTGATCAATCCCCAAACTAGGCTCCTGTTGAAACCCTCTCCCAGAGGTTAAAGGCTAGTTATTAAGGCAGTTTAAGAAATGGACATTCCTCTCGCTCCTCGGATCCTTCCTGTGTCCTGCTAACCCCCAGGTGGCGGAGGGGCCAGGGGGGCCGCCTCCTCCCGCCAGGCCCGCCTCTCCCGCG